GAGTGTGTGTGTGTGTGTGTGTGTGTGTGTGTGTGAGAGAGAGAGAGAGAGAGAGAGAGAGGGACAGGATTAGATAGTGAGCCCCCATAGAGGTGTAGATTTGACCCTCTTTTGGAGAACACATGGGAGTTCCCGTGGGCCTGCTGCTGCCGAGGGCGCTTTGGGAATGGGAAGTGAACTGTCCATGCTGGTCCTCACAGCCTTTGCGCGTGGGACTGACACTGGTACTTTCAGGGTCTATTTGCAGAACTATCCTAACACCTTTGGAAGCCAAGTGGCCAGCCACCCCCAGGCTGTAGTTCCTACTTCCTCCAGCCACGTGGATGAAAAGTCAGCAACTTCCCTTCTGTTCCTGTGACACATGCTCTAGAGGAGCATGACGTCAGCGTGGCCCTGCAGATGAGGCCCGGACGCCACATTCCCTCACTGCTTCCTTTCTTCCCTCCTGCAGGTGTTCATTCAATAAGCCTGTCAGATCCTTTCGGGGGTACAGAAATGGAGAATTGCATTTTATCCGCGGAAATAAAACACGGGGGGGGATAATGGCATAAGAAACACAGCTTAAGGGCTGTGGGGATTTGGAGGAGGGAGAGATTAGTTGTAGTTAGGAGATGTCAAAGAGGACTTTATGGAAAGAAGGCATTTGAACGGGAGCTTGAAGGATCCTGAGGATAGCAATGTGCAGATGTGTGGTGAATGGAGCAGAGAGTCAGGTTCAATATGCAGAGCAGTGATGTGGGGCCAAGGGGAGGAGATGCTGAACCTCTGGCTGGCAGAAGAGCGTGTACGGGCAAGGCTCCAAGTCATAGCTGAGCACCTTCATGGTTCATCCATGGACTGAGATTTTGGTCTCGTGTCTCACAGCACTGCGTCTGACAGCTTTTCGCTGTTATCTTAACACTCATTGAAAAGGCATCATTTGGGGAAACAGCACGTTCCTCTGATGAACAGAGGAGAAGGAATCCTGAGACTAAATGTACAAGTAAGAAAATCAGAATGATTCCGTCTGGTGCAGGGTAGACTAGGTGTCCAGGGAGAACAGGTGGCCCAGCTGAGGCAAGGCCCTGGAGAGCCCTGAAAGTTGTGTCAGCTCTGCTGCATTTGGCATGCAGCAGGGGTCATTGTAAATTGCACGGCAGGGGAAGGGTGGGATTAGAGCTGGGCTTCAAGTATTTACCTGCAGCAGCAAATTAGAGATCTGGAGATAGGGAGGATTTCATTTAACGTGATAACAGGCTCAGCGGAATTGCTCCCTAATCTCGAGCAAAGCACAAGGAAAATGGGGTGCCATTGATGCACCTAGTTGGTACAAGATGAGGAAGCCAGGACAAAGAACAGTTAAGTAACTTGTGACATGTTTTGTGATGGACTTTACATTTGAAAAGTAACGTTTTAAGAAACACATTCGCAGTCTTGAGCTGTTTGCTTTGTGACCTTGCAGCTGGTGATCAAGAAACACAGGAACTTTTAGATGCCTGGGAACTTTGCTGAGAATGTGGGAAAGATAGATAAGGCTAAACGGTTTACAAGGAGGCAGTTTAATATTCTGCCTTAGAGCTGGGGAGGTGTTATATTAAACGGCACACAACATGACAAAATTTACTTTATTATATAACAACGCAAATTGTAAGGTTTTGTTTTACTATTATTGCTATTATTTAATTCCCTTCTTCAACCAATCAGGCACTGGTTTGTCAGAGAGCAAGAGACAGCATCAGCGCCAGGATGTTCCTGGAATATTTCTGGTGAAAGGTAATGACTTGGGGAGTTGGGGGCAAGGAAATAGGTCACAGAAGCATTTCTGTGGCAGAACCAGCAGTGGCGTTGTGAAGACTGAATTGCTAACTGGTTCAAGCGGACGTTGTCTGGCTCAGGCATCACTTTCACACTGCAGCCTTCACCCCTGAGACTCCTGGCCAGCACCAGACCAGCACATTCAACGGCCAGGGCAGCTCTGGCACAGAAGCGACCCTTCAGAAAGCCTGCAGGGGTGCTGCCTAACAACAGGCTCCTACATGGCTCTTGGGGTGTTTTGTCTTAGATGAAAAATCATGAAGCCATTTTCTCTAGGGCTTTGTGCCTTTGATGAGATTCGCCCGTGCGGAGTGCAGGTCTGTGGCCCGATGAGCACAGGCATGTCAGCTAGGAAAATGTTTACATATGTGCAATGTCACTGCATCCTCACAATAACCCCATGGAGCACCGTCGTCCCTTGGTATATGTAGGGGGTTGGTTTCAGGACCCCCACGCGTACTATAATTTGAGCACACTCAAGTCCTGCAGTTGGCCCCAAAGAGCCCACATATAGGAAAAGTCTGTCCTCCACATACACGGGTTTTGCATCCAGAGAATACCGGTTTTCTTTTTTTTCTTTTTTTGAGACAGAGTCTCTCTGTGTCGCTGAGGCTAGAGTGCAGTGGTACAATCTCGGCTCACTGCAACCTCCGCCTCCTGGGTTCAAGCAATTTTCCTGTCTCAGCCTCCCAAGTAGCTGGGATTACAGGCACCTGCCACTATACCTAGCTAATTTTTGTACTTTTAGTAGAGAGAGGGTTTCACCATGTTGAGCAGGCTGGTCTAGAACTCCTGACCTCAAGTGATCCACCTGGCTCAGCCTTCCAAAGTGCTGGGATTACAGATGTGGGCCACTGTGCCAGCCAAATATTAGATTTTTAACCTGCCTTTGGTTGAAAAAAAAAATCTGTGAATAAGTAAACTTGTGCAAGTCCAAACCTGTGTTGTTCAGGGTCAACTGTAGTTCCTATTATCATGCCCATTTGACAGATGAACAAACTGAGGTGCAGAGGTCCCACGACTGATGATAGGAATGAAGTCTGGGCCTGTCTGACTCCAGAGCCGGTGTTGTTAACTGTTCTACTACAGTGCTTTGATAGCTTGTTTGGCTCAGACTGTTCTAAATTGACTTTAAAAGCAATAATTTGGTTTAAAAGGCAAAATAAAAGTAAAAACCAAACAAAAAACATATGTGTGCATGAGTGTAGTTGTAATCTACTCTGAGCATGACACCCAAAGAGGAAGGGAAGTTACCGATCTGAGCCAAGTGCTTCCACCCAGGTAAGGTCATTGATTCTTCCCAACAGCTCTGAGAGGTGACTATCTTAGAGACATGAAGTCATCACCCGAGGCCAACGAGCACAGATGTAAATCTAGGCTTTGTGACTTTCAGCGTGGTGTGACTTCTGTGATCCTTGCAGTCAAAAACTGATAGCCAGGGCCTCTCCCAGTTATCTTGCAGGTTTTTGAGTACTCCATTTAGTTTCTGGCATAAAATAAATATTTGTTGTATTGAATTGAATTAAACTCCATATGAACCTAACGTTTGTTAGGAGAAGATCTGGTAAATAAATGGACACCGCATAGACGTTAGAAGAATGAGCTCTCTGCAATGACAGGGAAGCTACTGTTAAATGAAAAAAAAGTAGTTTAGAGAAGAGTCTGCATGACAGAGAGTGAACCCCACGATGAGGGTCTAGCCTGGGAGGCCACGTGGGTTCTTGACTTCAGGATGTAAAGAATTCAAGAGCAAGCCAACAGAGTAAAGTGAAAACAAGCTAAGAAAAGTAAAGGAATTCAAGGATGGCTACTTCACAGGCAGAGGAGCAGCATGGGCTGGTTGATCAAATACACATGTGGTTATTCCTTGATTATATGCTAAACAAAGACTGGACTATTCACGAGTTTTCCAGGAAAGGGGTAGGGAGTTCCAGGAACTGAGAGTTTCTCCCCTTTCTAGACCATACGGGATAACTTCTGAATGTTGCTATGGCATTTGTAAACTGTCCCGGAGCTGGTGGGAGTGTCTTTTAACATGCTATTGCATTATAATTAGCCTACAATGAGCAGCGAGGACCACCAGAGGTGGCTTTCGTTGCCATCTTGGTTTTTTTGGCTGGCTTCTTTACCATGTCTTGTTTTATCAGCAGGGTCTTTGTAACCTGTATCTTGTGAAACCAGTTCTGTCGACCTCCTATCTCCTCCTGTGACTAAAAATGCCTCACCTCCTGGGAATGCAGCCCAGCAGGTCTCAGCCTCATTTTGCCCATCCCCTACTCAAGATGGAGTTGCTCTGGTTCCAATGCCTCTTACATGCACAGTACAATTCCTTTTGTGTAGAAAGACAAAGGCTTCCTTACCCATAGCCTGTTAATATGTGAAAAGAAAAAGGCTGTATAAAATGACTTCGAATTGATAATAGTGCTTTTCTCTGAGGAGGAAGGTCATGGAGCATTTTCACATGCTTTATAATAAGAGAAAACAGAAGATACTTTCATTTTGAAAGAAACAAAAGCTACAAGGGGGAAGAAAAAGTAAGTTGTTTCTGGTTGCAATAGATACCACCAGAAGGGGGATGTGCTCAGGCCAGAATGCTCCACTTCAGATCCCTCAGGATGGACCCTGGAGTCCCCAAGATGAAACAGGCGCTGTCTCAATCTCTCAATCTCTGTTTCTGAATCTCTCCCTCCCTCATTCCATCTCCAATGTACTGTGAAACATTTTCATTTACAACAAACGTATGGGCATGATACAAGGAACCAGGACTCTGTGGGACAATGGCTGATGCCACATGTGGGACTGGAAGTGTGCAAGATGGGCTGGAAAAGTTCACAGGAACTACCTTGAAGATTACCCACTGGCTAAAGATAGGGTGATGTGAGCATTTAAAAAAACTCTAGTGAGTCGAAACACATCAAATATGTTTAAAATCTTTTGGTGTTTGGTATAGCACCAACTCAGTCTGAAAACTGGTAAATAAAGGAAATAAAACACCAAGTAATTGTCTTCTTTCCTGGGCAAATGGTTGACGAGGGAAGGGTTTTGTTTTGTCTTGTTTTCGAGACAAGGTCTTGCTCTGTCACCCAGATTGGAGTACAGTGGCACGGTCACGGCTCACTGCAGCTTTGATCCCCTGGGTTCAAGTGATCCTTCTTCCTTGGCTTCCCAGAGTGCTGGGATTACAGATGTAAGCCATTGTGCCCAGCTAAAGATTATTCTTTTTTTTAATAGAAGAATTCCAATTAACAAATGCCAAAGGGACAGCAGAATTAGAAAAATCCTTGTTTTGCAACCCATAATTATAGTGTGGATCTCAACAAATCAACAACCCCTGAAATGATCAAGTAAAATGCTGAACTTTGTAATGAATGATTAAAGCCAATAACTCCAAACCCACCCATCAGTCTTAACATTACCAATAAAGAGGCGTTATCTGCCTCCTAATGGAATGCAGCAGGAAGTACCCAGCATCGTCTAGGAAGCATTTTTGCCACAAAACCAGACCTCCAAATCTAACTACCATTTTATAAGAAAGATAAGTTCAGAGAACCATGTTAAATGACACCTCGGGATTTCAGCCAGCACAGTTTCAAATGCGCTAAACTCTTCAGTTGGAAAGAGACTTACAGACATTTCAAATAAATGCAATTTGTGGGCCTTGTTTGAATCCTGATGCAAACAATCCCACTATAAAAACAGCCAAACATTTGTGAGACAGTGAGAGATGCTTGAATTCCAACTGTATATTTAAGGATATTAGAAAATGGACAAAATTATGTAATGTTCGAAATTTGCTTCAAAATAATCCAGGTACATATAGTGTATGGAGCTGGAGAGAGGAGTGGGCAGCAGTGTAGATAAAACGTGCCTGGCCATGTGTGGATGGGTTGTCAGAGCTGAGTGGGGTTGCATAAGGACTTATTATACCATGATCTCTGCTTGCAGATTTTCATAATCAAATGTGAAAAGTTTCGATTTTCTTAATCAAAAATCAATAAAATATATGGATATACAACTTAATTCCTCCATCATGACAGTGGTGGGAGTGGTGTGTATGTGTGAAGTGTGTGTGAGGCTGTGAGTGTGTGTGTGTGTGTGTGTGTGTGTGTGTGTGTGTGTTTCTCATGTTCTGTTTGGTCTTAGTTCAAGTTGCAACCCTGGAAACAGCTACATTCTGTGGAAAATAACTTTTTACAGGTGTAAAGAATGTTTCAACCTAACAGATTCAAGGGGTGTCAGACAGGCAGGCACAGACACAAGGCCCCTCCTTAGGGGACTGCTGGGGCCAGTCCCACACGGTTATTCCCACGGTCAAAGACAGAGTAAAACTGTCGAATGAAGACATCCCCCAGGATCCAGAGGGGCCCAGCTGGAGGGTGGATGTCAAGTCCTTGAAAGCCACTGCTGCAGAACTGCATTCCGTCCACGAAGTCCTGGGGTGGGAAGGAAGGATGCAAATGACAGATGGGGGAAGCAGGAAGTAGTGCAGCCTGTATGGTGGTGGTGGCTGGCACTGGATGGCCTTGGACAGCTGGTGAGTTCCACCATTTTGGTCGGTGGGTTCTTCCTCCCTCTTCATACGGCCTTGCCCTAGTTTGCTCAGTAAAGTGTTTGTCTGCACAAGTCCTTTCTTGTGGGCCTGGGGTCTGTGTTCTACAATTTTGAGAACTGTTCATCTGTTATATAAGCCCACCTGCCTCCATCACCATTATTTTACAGTTGGGAAACCCTTATTTCATGGCTAGAAGAGCAAAGGGTTGGCGCCAGAAGACCTTGGTTTGAATTCTGGTTTCTTTAGTTTCTAGTGAAGCACAGCTTAGTTTTTGTCAAGGGAAAGAAAGAGCTCCGGTAGTCGCTATCCACTGCTATCTTCTTGTCGATGTTCTGGGAATAAACATTTGAGTGACCCCCTTTGGATGAGGCAAGTAGGCCTCCCTTGTTCCAAGAGAAGAGAATCACCTTCTCCAATCTTAATTTTTAGTTTGGCAAAGATGTGCCCTCCCAGGCAGGTGTGGTCTTTCCAACAACGATTTGAAATTTGAAGTTGCTGGTGAGGGTGTGGGAAAATTTGCAGAGGGCTCAAGGAGACCTCTTGAGAGGAAGGTCATGAAAAGTCAAAGTAATTCAGCAGTTCTGATGGATCAAGGTGGCTCTGATTGAAATCTGCTGGTGGGAAAGAACCACGCACTGTCCTGGGAATGGGGAAAGGCATGAGCCTGGGCAGGGACTCAGCTCACATTCAGGAAAGTGAGAGAGAGTGGGGGTGTTGGGGTGTTGATGGGCATGTGGCCTGATGAACAGGGCTCAGTCTAAATGTCTAGCTGGTCGTCAGTGTGTTGTTCACAGTGGCGGCTCCAGAATCCCTATGTGGCAGGAGCTTAAAGGACCTACCATGAAGCTGTGTTTTAATGCGAACATTTGTTTTTATTTGGATTGTCTGTTGGTGGCTTTGGGAAGGAGTTATGGAGGCTTAGGGGTAGGGCTGAAGCCCTCAGTCTGTACCTTAGCACCCCTATTCTGATGCATCCACCCTGAAGCTGTGAGTGACTTGGAAAAATTAGTGTGTTGAAGCGTGGTGCTACACTTCAGTGCTGTGGATAACTACGATATTGAAAATTCAACCCGACTGTGGTGTGAGGTGCTCATAGGGGTCCAAAATGTCTAGGCGTTCCCTTGCTATGTCATCCTACAAACTGGAGAATTTACTGCAACAAAAGGCATTTTCTTGCTTGAAGAGGAATGTTAAGTTGAATGTCAGAATAAATATAATCTTATTGTCTACACCTCCCTGCAAACAGCTCATATCTTGAACCATTTATTTGACACTCTGAGTCTCGATATTCTCATCTATAAAATGAGATAGTAATAGTTCCAGTCTGTCCTGGTGGTTGAGGAGATTAAACTTTGTCAGTTGAAAAGTCCTACATGGCAATATCAGAAGACTTCCTTAAATGGCCAGCCTGAAGTTCACTACTGCTTTATGGCAGAGCTGGAAATTAGGACAAGCCCCGTGGTCTTTCCACCACAGGCAGCTTCGTCCCTCCCAGAGGGAATGCCACATCAGAGCAGAACGATGTGGGGCGGGTCTTAGGGCAAAGGCGGGCTAAGTGCAGGGACTGAAAAGGGGAAGTGGCAGGCACGTGGGGAGGGCCCTGTGGTTTGCGGAATAAGGAACCAGTTCTTACCAGCAGGGTGTAGGCAGTTGGGCTGAGGGTGTAGGGGACTCCATTGATGGTGAAGGTGACATCCGGCATGACGTTTAGGTTGGCACACTCCACAGCATACTAAAACTCAGTACAGACAATCCATTTAGAACCTTCCCACCTCCCAAGAGAAGGCCTGGCTCTCCGGCCCCCACCCCTCCCTTCCCCAGGCAGGTACTCACTTCTCCATCCACCGGGGCTGCCCCAATGGCATTTTGCAGCTGCTTAATCTTGTCGGAAGGGCCAGTGATGAGGGAAGTCCCTGTGTCCACAATAGCCTGGCAGCCCTCAGAGCAGAACATCACAGTCCCTCCCACCTGGATGCTGAGGGAACAGGGTCGTGGTCAGCCCACCTCCCCTCCCCTGGCTCCTAGGAAACCCCCACTCTCTTTTGGGCTCTCCAGCGCCTGGAGCACTTCAATGATTTCCACCCACCCTATGAGTGTTCCTCAATTATTTTCTACTGAGATCTGTAGGAAGAAATCTGTTTACTTCTTGACCCAGTGCACACACACACACCCCCATTCATGCAATTGAAGTGCACTCTGGTATTTTCTACTGTATTCCAATTCATAAAAAAATATAGGTTATGATCTTGTTTATTTTTTCTTTTTCTTTTTTTGAGATGGAGTCTCGGTCTGTCTCCAGGCTGGAGCACAGTGGCATGATCTTGGCTCACTGCAGCCTCTGCCTCCGGGTTCAAGTGATTCTCATGCCTCAGCCTCCCGCCCAGCTAATTTTTGTATTTTTAGTAGAGACAGGGTTTCACCATGCTAGTCAGGATGGCCTCAATCTCTTGACCTCGTGATCTGCCTGCCTCAGCCTCCCAAAGTGCTGGGATTACAGGTGGGAGCCACTGCGCCCAGCCAGGTCATGATCTTCTAAAATGATGTTATGACCCATAAATAGGTGAATTCCTACAGTTTGAAAAACCTCAGTAGACAGTGAGCATTGTGGCTTTTTATTTTTTGCATTCCTAATTCCTGGCACCTTGCAGGAACTCAATCCTAGCTGAAGTGAAACTTGAACTGCACTTTTCCAATTCCTGCATTGTCTAGCTAGGTATGAGCAGGCACCTAGTCCCACTTCCCCAGTTGCTCCAAGCCCAGATACTGTATATATCTCCCTGCTCAGTTTCAATGTAACCCCCTCCACGACCACTGGAGGGTCCTTCAGATAGAGGCTGTCTTTCCTATCTGCTGGGCCACGTTGGTGGCACCTGTCTTGTAGCACTGGCCACGTACCATTTTACAGGAGAGCAGTTTGTGTGCATCTCTTCTTCTGTGCAAGTTGATTGAGGGCAAGACCTGAGTTCGATTAACCTTTGCAGCCCCCATGTCACTCATCCCTTGCCTTGTATGTTAATGTTGAAAGAACAAAGAGGGGCAGGCTGTGCGCTGGGATTGAATGTCTGTTGGATTAAAGGCACGTCACATGTACAGGGAAGGAAGCTGTGTCTGGCGCCCTTCCTGCACACTTGCTCAGCACCTCCATACCTCCAACCACAGCAAGCTTCTGGCATCCTCTGTGAGTGACCAGCAGTTTTTCAGTTAATTTAATTTGAGTTGTGCCTCTTTTGAGTTTACCCCTAGTCCTGTAACTACTTCATGGGGAATACTCACTTATCCAGCGCAATCTGCCAGTAGGCTTGCTTGGTGACTGGGACCCAATTCAGGCTTCCAGAGAAATGGGAGTGATCGTAGCCTCCGAAAATCAGCTCGCTGCCCGCACCACCTTCTGGGTTACTACTTGGAGAGAAAGACAAGCTGTCCAGGAACGGCCACTGAAAAACTCTAGGGGTGAGTCTCAGCTAGGGCCCTTTGCTTCTTGATCTGGTCATTCATACCAAGCACCCAGGTAGGCAGAAACATCAGCCTGGGCTTTGAGACCGGGACTCTGACTACTGCAAGTGGATTGGTCTGGGCCTTTTTGACGCAAGGTCAGTAACAGCTCCCCTCGACCATTTGTGAATGTCCTCCTGCTTCTTGGATAAAAAGGTTAAGGAGGTGGGAGTTGGGGCCAGCAGGTCTGTCATTCAGAACCAAGGCCAGGACTATCCTTGGTGCGTACACACGCGTGACTTGAAGCAACTCCCAAAGACACCTTTTCTCAAGTATCTTCCCCACTATGGTTGTGGTGGTTCCTGGCATGTTTATATCATTCACTCCTCATGTTAAGGCAAAGAGGCTAATTTGACTGTATGATGACTCACTAGAACTTGGAAACTTACTTATTTTCATTGGTATTGATTTCTCAGATTACGTTCTTGGTCCTAGCAGGATTCTGGAGAAATAGGACTAAGACAGATTCATTTTGAGGAGGAAAAGGATCAGAAAGACACAAAATCAAAATCAGGGTAGAAAAGAGGGAGGGAAGTGAATATCTGTTGGAATTTTAGGAAAGTGGTTTTAGAGAAGGAGTGGGGAAAGAAACTCACATTTGCTGATTACCTTGGTGCAAGGCCCTGTACTGGGGATTTTATCTATCTAAACTTCCTTAACTCACATCAATCGAGTGGTCCGTGGAGGAAACTGAGCCTCAGGGAGATGAAGCAGTGTAAGTGGCAGGATGCAAATCCAGGCCGGTCTCACTGCCAAGCCCTCGATATTCCCCATTACAGCCCACTTTTCCCAGGCAGAGGGAGAAGGACGTTCTGCAAGGGGAAGCAGAGATGTCTAGACAACCTGCCTCTCTTACTCGCAGCTCTGTCCAGGCCTGGTCCTGAGTGCCGCCGGAAGCACAGCTTGATAGGAAAAACCCAGGACCCTCCATGTGGGAGAGGGAACGAGAGAAAGGGGCTTATGCTGGAACCAGGTGAACTCAGGCCAGGTCTGACCTGGAAGCAGTCAGGAAGGTCAGAAATCATCTTCCTGTGTAAGGAGGAAGAGGAGATGACCCTCCAAGGATGCCAGGCAAGAGTGCCTAGAAACAGACCTTTCCCAACCACCATGTGCAATTTTTAAAAATTGTGGTAAAAATATGTAACATAAAATGTACTATCATACCCATTTTTGAGTTCAGTGGTGTTAAGAATGAGTTCAGCAGTGTTTACTGTTGTAAAGTCCAGACCTTTCGTTTCACAGAACAGAAACTTTGTACCCATTAGGCCATCAACAACAGTTTAAGAACCCCTCACTTCCGCTCCCCAAGCTCCAGCAACTGCCAGTCTACTTTCTGCCTGGGAATTTGACTACTCTAGGTACCTCACCTAAGTGGAATCATACAGTATTTGTCTTTTTGTGACTAGCTTATTTCACCTAGCATTATGTCCTCAGGTTTCTTCTATGATGTAGCATATCTTGGAATTTTCTTCCTTTTTAAGGCTGAATGATATTTGATTGCTCAGATATGCCACATTTTGTTTAGTCATCCATCAGCATGTAATTATTTCATTGTCAGCTTAACTTTTCATTTTTTTTCTGCCTCCTCTTCCTCCAGGTGCTGTTTTACTTATTTCACTGTGTCCCCAATGTGAGCACCAGAATCAGCATATAATAGGAGCTTGATATTTATTGACAGCATAAATGAAGAACCAATCCCAGAGATTCCTTAAATTTAAGCCAGTGTGGTAGGGCTTACAAAGTGCTTTCACAACTACGTGATGAGGCAAATCTCATTTCCTCAATATTAAGAGAGGTTAAATGTTTTGACAAAGATCACACAGCTGATAAGAGACCAAGCCAAAGACCCAGACCAGGTCTTTTGACGGCTGAATCAAGTGCACGTGTTGTCTCCCTGTGGTTCTAACTGACCTTAGCCTCACAAGCTTGATGGGCCTTACCTGCTCATGTAGACAGAAAACATTGGCAGGTCCACCAGGTTCTGAGCCATCATGTTGTCAAACACTGGGGTCACACCTCCCACAGCCAAGGAGGGGTATCCCAGGCCCAGAATTCCATCAAACTCTGCATCCACAAAGGTCTGGCCTGGCTCTGTGACACTTTCTCCAAACTGCTGGCCAACCACGGTCAGTCCTTCCACCTGCCAGGAGAAAGCCCACAGGTGAATGGCACAGGGGATTGCTGGCAAAGGGTTTGATTCCTGGATTTTACTCTGTCTTGAAGCGAATTCTTCTCCTTCCCCACTTTCCTTGATTAAATGAGCAAAAAGGTGTTTGCATATTCCCAAGAAACAGGACATTCCAAAACCTCAGAAGCCCTCAGGCACTTGCCGATCATTGTGTCCCTCTTCAAGAAGAGCCAGTCTTCTGACTTCTAACAGTATGTATTGGTTTTGCCTATTTTTTGGATTTTATATAGATGGAATCATCCCCGTATGAATTCTTTGGTATCTGGCTCCTGTCATTCAATATTGTGCTTATGGCGTGCTGTTGTAATTTGTTCCTTCTTATTAGTACTCCATGGTATGAACGTTTCACCATTATTTATCTTTTCTACCACTGATAGACATTTGAGTTGTTTCCTTTGACTATTGCTAATAGTGCTGCTTGTGTATGCCTTTTGGAGAACACATGTACATATTTCTGGATGCATATATGCCTAGGATGAAACTGGTAAATAATTGGATACACAAGTGTTCTGCTTGAGTAGGTACTGCCAAAGACTTTTCCAAAGTCATGGCACCAAACGATACTTCCACTACCAATATTTTGAGAATTACAATTGCTCCTTATCCTCACCAACACTAGATATTTCCTATATTTTTCATTTTAATTTTCTAGTGGATATCAGAGGGTATTATGGTTTTAATTTGCATTTCCTGATTATTAACAAATTGACATTTAGTGGTGCTGGGAAAACTGGCTAGTCACATGCGGCAAATGAAAACTGGACCTCTTCCTTACTCCTTATACAAAAATTAACCCAAAATGGACTCAAGACTTAAATGTAAAATCCCAAAATATAAAAACCATAGAAGAGAATCTAGGCAATATCATTCAGGACATAGGGACAGGCAAAGATTTCCTGATTAAAACGTCAAAAGCAATTACAACAAAAGCGAAAACTGACCAATGGGACCTAATTAAACTAAAAAGCTTCTGCACAGCAAAAGAAATTATCATCAGAGTGAACAGACAACCTACAGAATGGGAGAAAATTTTTGCAATCCATCCATCTGACAAAGCTCTAACATCCAGAATCTACAAGGAACTTAAACAAATTTACAAGAAAAAAACAACCCATTAAAAAGTGGGCAAAGGACATGAACAGATACTTCTCAAAAGAAGACATTTATGTGGCCAATAAACATATGAAAAACAATCACTGATCATTAGAGAAATGCAAATCAAAGCCACAGAATAGCAATTATTAAAAAGTCAAGAAACAGATGCTAGTGAGGCTGTGAAGAAATAGGAATGCTTTTATACTGTTGGTGGGAATGTAAATTAGTTCAACCATTGTGGAAGACAGTGTGGCAATTACTCAAAGACCTAGAACCAGAAATACCATTTAACCCAGCAATCCCATTAGTGGGTACATACCTAAAGGAATATAAATCATTCTATTATAAAGATACATGCATGTGTATGTTTATTACAGCACCATTCACAATAGTAAAGACATGGAGTCAACCCAAAAGCCCACTGATGATAGACTGGATAAAGAAAACGTGATACACATACACATACACATACACATACACATACACATACACCAGAATACTATGCAGCCATAAAAAGGCATGAGATCATGTCCTTTGCAGGGACATGAATGGAGCTGGAAGCCATCATCCTTAGCAAACTAACACAGGAACAGAAAACAAAATACCATGTGTTCTTACTTATAAGTGGGAACTGAACAGTGAGAACACATGGACACAAGGACGGGAACAACACACACTGGGGCTGGTTGTGGGGTGCTGGGAGAGGGAGAACATCAGGATAAATGGCTAATGCATGTAGGGCTTAATATCTAGGTGACAGGTTGACAGGTACAACAAATCACCATGGCACACATTTACCTAGGTAACAAGCCAGCAGGTCCTGCACATGTATTCCAGAACTTAAAAATAAATGTAAAATAAATGGACATTTAGATATCCTCTTTTATGAAGTGAGTTGACTTTTTTCTTATTGATTGGCAGGAGTTCTTTATATGCCTTGAAATCAAGTCCTTTGTTGGTGCTACAGAAATCTTCTCCTGGACTGGTGTAATGTTTTTACTGTCTTCATGGTGTCTTTTAATGAACAAAGGACATGCATTTTAATGTAGTCAAATTTATCAATTTTTTCCTTTACCATTAGTGTTTTTTGTAACTTGTTTCAGAAAATTTTGCCTACCTTAAGGTCATGAAAATATTTTCCTATGTTTTCTTCTAAAAGCTTTATTGTTTACTTTTCACATTGAGGTCTGGAACCTAACTGAAATGTGATAATGTGTAAGGTAGGCGTCAGTATTTATTTTTTCTATCTGGATATTCATATGACTTGGCACTATTTAATAAATATATCATCATTTCTTCTACATACTGCAGTATCATATTCAAAATAAGTCAGATGACTATGTGGCTAGTTTTTGTATTTTCTATTCTGTTCCATTGGTTTATTTTTAAAATTCTGAGCCAACATCACACTATCTAAATTACTGTAACTTTATAACAAGTCTTAATATTTATCAGTGTTTTTCTTCAGCAAGATTGTTTTGGTGTATTACATATCAATACAAATGTTAGCATCAGTTTGTTAATTTCTAAGAAAAATTTCTGTGGTTTTCATTGGAATAAAATTGGTTCTATAGATCAATTTGAAAAAATTTGACTTTTTAGTAAAACAGTCATTCCATCTATGAGCATGGTTTAGTTTTTAATACAGGTCTTCTTTTAATTTTATTCAGTAATGTTTACAATTTTTGTGCAAGTCTTTTACTTTTATTTAGTAATGTTTGCTAATATCAGAGTAGCATTCTTGTGCTTTTTTTTGTTAAATTTACCTCAAAGTAGCTGATGATTTTGATGGTATTATAAATAGTGTCATTAAAAATCGATTTGCCATTTGTTTTACTTGCTACAGGTTGAGCATCACAAATCTGAAAATCTGAAACTGAAATGCTTCAAAATCCAAAATTTTTTGAGTGCCAACATGATGCTCAAAGGAAATGCTTGTTGGAGCATTACAGATTAGGGATTTTCAGATTTGGGATACTCAACTGATAACCATAATGCAAAATTCCAAAATCTGAAAAAATTTAAAATCTAAGAGGCTTCTGGTCCTAAACATTTGAAATAAGGATCTGTAACCTGTATATAGAAATCCGAATTACTTTTTTATGTTGACTTCATATCCAGGAACTTTGCTAAGTTTACATGTTAATCCCAATATCCTTTCTGTAGATATTTTTTGGATTTTCTACTTATAGAATCTCATCATACATTAATAATGACAGAGTTATTTCTTCCTTTTCCATCTTAATGCTCTTAACTTCTTTTTTCTTGCCTCGTTGCACTGGCAATAATGTTGAATAGAGGTGGTGAGGCTGAGCATCCTTGTCTCATTCTTGATCTCATAGAGAAGTCGCTCGACAATTCACCATTAAGCATAAAGTTTGCTGTGGACTTCTTTGTAGATATTCTTTATCAGCTGAAGAAAGTTGTTTTCTGTTCTTAGTTTGCTAAGAGTTTTTCTTAAAGTCATGAATAAACGTTGAATGTTATTAATCTATTTATATAATCATATTGCTCATATGATTTTTATTCTGTTAGATGATAAATTCCTAGAAAGATGATCCTTGGTTAAGATGCATTATCCTTTTATACACCACACGATTTTATTTGCTAGTATTTCACTTAGAAGCAGAACCATTAGGAGGTACTATAGATATAGTTATAAATGACAGACATAATATAGATTTTTTTTTTTTTTTTTTTTTTTTTTGAGACGGAGTTTCACTCTTGTTGCCCAGGCTGGAGTGCAATGGCGCGATCTCGGCTCACCGCAACCTCCGCCTCCTGGGTTCAGGCAATTCTCCTGCCTCAGCCTCCTGAGTAGCTGGGATTACAGGCACGTGCCACCATGCCCAGCTGATTTTTTGTATTTTTAGTAGAGACGGGGTTTCACCATGTTGACCAGGATGGTCTCGATCTCTTGACCTCGTGATCCACCCGCCTCGGCCTCCCAAAGTGCTGGGATTACAGGCGTGAGCCACCGCGCCCGGCCCCCATAATATAGATATTATATGCAACTGTGGGTGCTAAACAGTGTACCTTAGGATATTGTTTCTGTCCTGGTGCTGCAGCTGCAGCCGCAGTCTATAGTTTGCACAACAGAAAGGGAAGATAGATATCAAGTGGGAGGAAAAGGGCCGGTTGGAACCCATGAGGGTGAAGGTGAACTGGAACCCACGTCATTCTCTCACTGTCCTCAAGTCTCCAAACTCAATGACGGGGATGTTTTACAGCAAAAGCTGATGGTTTGTTATAGAAGTAAGTGCACACCTGACCCTGGAGCCAGAAAAACTGAGGGAAGGTGCAGTGAGGCTGACATTGCTGTGGGCTTGGCTGCTGTGCTACAAGAGCCAGGGGAGCCAACAGATAAGTGGCAAGCTATAGGCTGGAATTTCCCTTTCCAAGTTAATTTCAGTGCCTTCCCTGTGTCTCAGAGGTTATTGTGACTATCAGTTTGGGATGTAGTCTTCTAAATTGTTATTTGCACTTTTACATATATATTACATGTAATTAGATATATAATATATATGTATACGTCATATAACATATAATCTTATATATCATATAATATAGACACATTACCTATATATTTAGTTAATATATATAGATATAATCTATTATGTATTATAATATATTAATACATACAACATATGAATATATTACATAATATATTATTAATATAATACATTATTATATCAATTATATTATATACCATATAATTAATTATAAAACATATTAATATAGTATATTACATATTATATTAATTATATAATATATAACATATATAATATAATTATGTAATATATTATATCAAATATATACATCTGTATATAATATACAGATGGATATATAAAATATATACACATATGTATCCATATATATGTGTATATATATTATATATGTAGTGTGTGTATACACACACACACATAGTTTCAGTAGAAAATACAGTGCATTGTTTTACCTGTTTGATATTTCACATAGATGGTGTTTTTCTGCTTCTGGTGTTCTTTCAGTTGATAATATGTTCTGCTCCCACCCACTCTGGCCTTGGGAATACCCCAGGGACCAATGCTCATCAGGATTAGGTCAACCTCTGTTTCTCCCAAGGCCCAGGCATACATTGCTGCCTATAAACCTGAAAAAGTACCCAGGCAGGACTGAGACTCTTCTAGTTCTGCGTTTGTCTGATTCCCATAGTTTTAGGACTTATAGGACTTCAGAGGGAGTCAGAGGATCAGAGGTCAGAGGGAGTTTGAGGAACAGCTCATGAGCTCAGCATTGAGTTCAATTTGGACCTTGGCCTTTGGACAACTGGGCTTCTGCCTTGGCTCTGGGATTGGACTTCCACTTCAGACCTTGCCCCCTTATTTCACTGAGTCCAAACCTCACCGCCTGGTGTGGGCTTCCTTATCCTTCAAGATGGCGGCCTGGTCTTATCACCTCAGTGCCCTAGAGTCTGGAGATGCAGCTGTGCACCCTGCCACTAGGCTTTGTGCACTGGGCCTTGCTTCCTGCCAGAGTCTCCCTGCACTGCCCTCCCACAGGGCCCAACGTGCTGTGCGGACTGACCCACTGCTGCCAACTCAGGTGGGGAGTGTTTCTCCCCCTTTCCCCTGGAAGCTAGTCCCAACCCCTGTTTCCACCCATTCCTGAGGCAGATTTGAAACCTAAGACCTCTGAATAAGTCTCCCAGGTTTCTGGTCAAGAGAGAAAAGATGAAGGATTTGCACTCACAGAGACTTGGTCAGCTCCGATGATTCCAGACAAGCTCCCGGTTCCATACTGAATGGAGAAAGATTGCCCCGGCTGGCTGTACGTGTTGGACTGGGAAGGCTGGAACCTGGTATGCCTCTCTGGAAAGATGTACACTGTTCTTGCCTATGCTGTTGGCTCACTGCCTGCATCCCTGTCCTGATGCCACTCAGCCCCAGGGCTGCAGGGTCTCTTCCCTCAGCTCTCAACACTGAGTGGGGGCCCCGAGAGGCCTGGCCATGCCCTGCCCTAATGAGCAACTACATTTCCCTTTCGCTACAGATGTGGCCTAACTGGGGACCAAATAGCTGTCCCTGGGCAAACCTGATTGTCCACAATGACCTCATGAGGCACACCAAGATAAGTGACATTTATCAGGCGCCAGCCACAGTCCCTGCCACCCACTGTGTGTCAGAGGTTGGCCTTCAAAAGAAACTCAGGGATAAACAATTGCCCCAGGAAATTACTCCCAACTTTCCCCCCAACCCATGGACATCTAGCCTTGGGGTTTCCAGAGACATTCTTTCTCTGGGACTTGTCCTGTTTGGGACATGACCTCTTTCTGTAGCTCTTCTTTTCCATCCTCACTGAAACCTCTGAGTTACCTCCAGCCAAATGATGGACCCACCCATGCCATTGTGCGCCAGCAGCCCCACCTCTGTGCAGCAGGAGATAAGGCTACCAAGCCTCCTTGAAGCAAGCAGACTGTCTACACTAGAGCCCAACTCACCTACCTGCCCAGAAATAACCAAATGAATTAACCTGTCCCCTACATTCCTTTGGGTGTTCCAAAGGAAATGAGTCATTATGTCAAAGATTTCTCTTTTCAATGGCTGAGTTTCTCTCTACTAATTCTGATGAGTATGAAAGTTGCTATCTTGGACAGCAGCCACATTTTAGTTCTTCCTTGGCCTTGCTCTGCTGTAAGCAGCTCCAGGGCAGACTCGAAGATGGAGAGGGGAAGCTGGTGTGACAGGGATAGCCACTTTTGGGAACCTAAGCCCCCTTCCCCCAAATACCAGGCTTGGCCTCACGAGACTGGCCCCCAGACATTCTCTGCCGGGGCTCCTGGAGCCACTTACTGCAGGCTGGGCTGGTGCAGTACACAGACGGTACCCAGAGATTGGAGGAGCCAGTGTCGAAGATGACAGTGAAGTTCTGTGGTGGGGAGCCAATGGAGATAGTGCCGAAGTATTCCATCTGCAAGAAAGAGTGAGAAGGAAAGAGGGTGTGGATGGTGGGGAGAGAAAAGGGTGCTCACCAGGGCCAAGGGAAAGCTCCCTGGGGCCTAGGAAGTGGCAAGGCTGGAAAACAAAAGGTAAAAGGAGCAGAGAAATGGCCAGGAGGGAGGAAATCAAACCAAGCTTCTGGCTACTTCATTTGATTTTACTCGCACTAACCTGATTCTTATAATTACATTGCAGGAGAGGCAGTGGAGGAAGAACCACCTTTGTTTTACAGACCAGGGAACTGGGGCTTAAGTTAAGTAACTTGCCTCAGGGTACACAGCCAGTAAGCTGCCCAACTGAGAGTAGAATGGCATCATTCCACTGCCTTCAGTGTGGAATGATGCTTTCACCCTCAGCCCTTTCCTTCTGCAGAGAGCTCTGACATTTGGGTACATTGCGACTTGCTTAGCCAACCCCATGGGGACCCAAGGACTCAGTCCCCATGGATCATTCATCCAAGTGAAGAAATCTACAATGGCCTTCAGTGCTGCTGATGTGGCACTGGCCATGCCTGATGCTGGGCCTTCCTCCCACTCCCATGTCTCCCCAGCCCTGATCCCAGGAGGCCTCACATCCAAGTAGTTGATAAGGGGTTCGTTGGCACTCTGGTCCGTTGAGCAGGACTCGGTGAACTGGATCAGGTCCAAATTCTGGGACTTCCAGAACTCAGAGAGCTGGTTCCGTGTCCGCAGCTTCTTCTTGAGGGATGGATGCTTCCTGAGGGGCACCCTGGAGACAAAGCTCCGTGTGATGAGGACTTGTGCTTCTGCCTCCCTCTTCCCCACGTTCCCATCCCATTTTCTCAGAGGCCAACTGGAGATGACAGAGGAAGGGCTCTGCAAGACAGCATGCAGGGTGCGGGTGGGGTCAGCGCCCTCTCTGCCACTCAGCCTGCCCGGCCTCATCTCTGCCCTGTAGAGTCTTAGAATCTTAGAGTAGAAATGGCTCCCTTCCTGGAGCGGAGTTCTTTGAGATCTTTCTGGAAAATGGAAGATGTAGGATGGTCTGCAGTTTTACATGAAAACCATGAAGGGCTGATTTAAAGGAACAGAAGACTCTTGGGGACAGTAATGGTGAGTCCCTTGGGGAAGTACTTGGGCACTTTGAGCTACAAACCACAACTGCAGGTTCCTGCTCTTTAGCCACACAAGAAGCTCCCTGGGACTTGGGAAAGGCACCTCTGTGAAGGTGGAGGCAGGGTATGACTTGTTGAGGACTGGAGATTAAGGCCATACACAGGTGGCCACTGGGTAAGCCTGTTCCATGCATTGATGAAAGCCCTCAGTTTCTCCTCCTCTTCAGCTACTTGTCAGCTTTTCTCTCCCAGAGCAGCCCTGAGCTGCAGGGCAGGGGACTACACAGCTGCACACAGTGCTGGGGACATCTCCTCACCTGTGAAGTGATCCTTGGGCCTCTCCCAGGTCCAGGAGCACCAGCAGCAAAAGAAGGAGCGTTTTCATTGTGGGTCCGATCAGCAGCTTCTCCCTTGCCCCTTCCTTTCTTCTCTCCCCCAGGGCAGTGGGAACAGACTTTCCTTAACTCTCAGACCTGCCCAGCCCAGTCTGAGAACCCAATGATAAGGCCCTGGAGTCATTAGCCATGCCCAGAGTAAACACAGCATGTGGAACAGGGCGTTCCTCTCTACCCCTCCATCCCTTTCCCACCTACAAGAGGAGTGTGGGTCTAGGGTGAGAATTTGGGGGCCCATGCACTCTCTGTATGTGAGAGGGTCCTCTGAGGCTTGGCTTCTCCCAGGGACTTGGCACCGCCCCTGACCCCAAGAAGCCCTGTGTTAATGAATCCGGAGAGCAGCGTGTGCCCGGACGCCTGGAAGCACCCACTGAACTGTTCGTGCGAGGGATCTAGCTGGAGACTCTGGAGGGGTGGGAGCTGACTTACGGGCGGCAGGATCCTAACTCAAAATACTAATCAGTCTGCTTTTTTTGGTGATTCCAGTTCTCTCGTCATTCTCTCAAATGCTCCAAAGGCAGTTTACCCTTCCCTGCTCCACTTCGAAGCACAAACCAGAACTCCTCAAAAGTCCTGAAATGGGAAAATGTGGCTGCGTATTCATGGAGCCCACTCTTCTGACACCAAGGGCTTGATGAATCTGGGTCTGGGGCTCAGGAGTGTGTGGAGGAGAATTCATGGGCAGCTAGGGAGGGTCAAGGGGGACAGCGTCTGGAGCAAGTGACCACGTGAGTCTACTAGAGCTGCCGAGACAAAATACTGGGGGCTTAAACAATAGAAATGTATCTTCTCACTATTCTGGAGGCTGGAAGTCCAAAAACAAGGCATTGGCAGAGTCAGTTACTTCTGGGGTCTCTCTCCTTGGCTTGTGGATGGCTGCCTTCTCTCTGTGTCTTCACATTGGTCTTCCCTTGGCATGTGTCTGTGTCCAAATTTCCTCTTCCTATAAGGACGCTAGTCATATTGGAGTAGGGCCCATCCTAATGACTACATTTATCCTTAATACCTCTTTAAAACTATCTCCAAATACAGTCGCACTCTGAGGTACTAGGGGTTAGAACATCCACATGGATTTTGGGGGAAGTTCAGCCCTTAACAGTGCTCAGGGACAACAGGATCTTCCATCTGTCAAGTGGGACTAAGCGCAGGGGTGGAGAGTCGGGGGGTGGGCTCAGGCTTTAAATACCCCAGTGTGTGAAACCCCCTCACCATCAGCCCATCTCTGTGGCCAGCCACCTCATAAACAGATGGTGGGGCTTCACTGCTTTGGGTGGGGATGAAGGGGTTACAGGAAGGAAGACCCTGACCCTGACTCAAATTCAATGGACGCTCTTAGCCAGGGCAGCAGAGGCCACCACCACGTGCCAGTGATTCCAGAGGGCACCAGCTCAGCAGTAGGAAGTAGGTGGCCTGAGTTCAGCTTTCGCTCTGCCCTGACCAGCTAGTGTTCTGGAAAATCTCTTAAGTGCTATGAGCTCTGCTGTTCATCTCTGAAGTTCAAAAGGCAAGCAAACGTGGAATGTGGAGCTAAGCCAAACCCGCTCTTGGGTCCAAAAATGTTAAAAAGATATCAAAAAGACTTGAAGAACAACCTAGACATTTGATCCCTGAATCCAAGGCAACAAAGCCTCTTTGGGGTATCCCAGGAGCCTGTCTCTTTGACCTTTCACTGGGGAGAGCAATCTAACCCCAGAAGGGCAGCTTGAGTCAGAAGTGGAGATCATTCACCTTGGCAGTAAGCTCTGCCATGCTTACCACATACCTTGGTTTTGTCATCTGCCAAATACTGCACCTACATCAATGGGCTTTTAAGGAGGATTAAATAAAGATACAGATATACTTGGTTTTACTGGACTCTGCTTTACTGTGCTTTGCAGATACTGCTTTTTTTTTTTTTAATTGAAGGGTTGTGGCAACCCTTTGTCAAGCAAACCTATCAGCACAATTGTTTCCAATAGCATGTGTTCACTTTGTGTCTCTGTGTCCCATTTTGGTAATTCTTGCAATATTTCAAACTTTTTCATGATTATTTTATCTGTAATGGTGATCTGTACTGAGTGATCTTTGACATTACTATTGTAATTGTTTTGGGGTACCACAAACTGCACAAATATAAGACAGAGAATTTAATATGTGTATTGTGCATTCTGATTGTTCCATTGCTGTACTAACTGGTCATTCCCCCATATCTCTCTGTCTCTCTTGTTCTCTCTCTCTCTCTCTCTCCTCAGGACTTGCTATTGCCTAAGACACAACAATATTAAAATTAGGCCAATTAATTATTCTACAATGGCCTCTAAGTGTTTAAGTAAAAGGAAGAGCTGCATGTTTCTCACTTTAAATTAAAAGCTAGAAATGATTAAGCCTAGTGAAGAAGCAACAGTTGAAAGCTAAGAAGGGTTGAAAGCTAGGTTTCTTATACTAAACAGTTACCCAGGTCATGAATACAAAGAAAAAGTTGTTGAAGGAAATCGAAGGTGATATTACAGTGAACACACAATTGATAAGAAAGCAAAATAGTTTTCTTGCTGATACGGCAAAAGTGTTAGCAGTCTGGACAGAAGATCAAAGCAGTGACAACGTTCCCTTAGGCTAAAGCCAAATCCACAGCAAGGCCCTAACTTTCTTCATTCTATGAAGACAGAGAGAGGCGAGGAAACTGCAGAAGAAAAGTTGGAAGCTAGCAGGGATTGGTTCATGACATTTAAAGAAAGAAGCCATTTCCACAGAGATTGCTGCAAGGTGATTTCTGCAAGGTGAAGCAGAGTCATGAAGCAGAAGCTGCAGCAAGTTATCCAGAAGATCTAGCTACGATAATTGATGAAGGTGGCTACACGAAACGACAGAGTTTTAATATAGACAGAATAGCCTTATACTGGATGAAGATGCCATCTAGGACTTTCATACTAGAAAGATGTCAATGCCTGGCTTCAAAGCTTCAAAGAACAGGCTGAATCTTTTGTTAGGAGATAATGCAGCTGGTAATTGTAAGTTGAAGCCAATGCTCATTTGCCTATTCTGAAAATCCTAAGGTCCTAAGACACTATGCTAAATAGAGTCTGCCTATTCTCTGTCAGTGAAACAACAAAGCCTAGATGACAGCACATGGGTTTACAGCATGGTTTACTGGATATTTTAAGCTTGCTGTTGAGACCTACTGTTCAGAAAAAAAAATTCCTTTGACAATATTACTGCTAATTGACAATGTACCTCATTACCAAGAACTCTGATGGAGATTTACAGGGGAATAAAGGTTGTTCTTATGCCTGCTCACCCAACATCCATCCTGCAGCCCATGGATCCAAGAGTAATTTCAACTTTCAAGTCTTATTATTTAAGAAATACATTTTGTAAGGCTATAGCCACCATAGATAGTGATTCCTCTGATGGATCCAGGCAAAGTAAATGGAAATCTTCTGGAAAGAATTCACCATTCTAGATGCTATTATGAATATTCATGATTCATGGGTGGAGGTCAAAATATCAAATTAAGAGGAGTTTGGAACAAATTAATTCTAATCCTCGTGGATAACTTTGAGGGGTTTAAGACTTCAGTGGAGAAAGTAACAGTGGATGTGGTGGGAATAGCAAGAGAACTAAAAGTGGAGCCTGAAGATGTGACTGAATTGCTGCAATCTCATGATCAAACTTGAACAAATGAGGAGCTGCTTCTTATGGATGAGCAAAGAACATGGTTTCTTGAAATGAAATCTCCTGGTGAAGACACTGTGAACACTTGAAATGACAACAAAGGATATGAATATTGCATTAACTTAGTTGACAGCAGTAGCAGAGTATGAGAGGATTACTCCAGTTTTGAAAGAAGTTCTACTGTGGGTAAAATGCTATCAAACAGCATTGGGAGAATCGCTTGAGCTCCTGGAGGTGGAGGTTACAGTGAGCTGAGATCTCACCATTGCAATACAGCCTGGAAAACAAAAAAAAAACTCAAACTCCATCTCAAAAAAAAAAAAAAAAAGAAAGAAAAAGAAAAAAATTTTCACTGTCACCCCAAACCTTGAGTAACTACCACCTTGATGAGTCAGCAGCCATCAATGTCAAGGCAAGACCTCCACAAGCAAAAAGCTATGACTCCTGCAGGCTCAGACGATTGTTAGCGTTTTTCGCCATAAAGCATGTTTTAATTAATTCTATTGCATACTTAGTAGACTACAGCACAGGGTAAACATAACTTTTATATACATTTGGAAACGAAAAAACGTGTGACTGACTTTATTGCAATTTCACGTTATTGCAGTAGTCTGGAACTAAACCCACAGTAGCTCCAAATGCTGCCTGCATGTGAAGTTCTCGAAAAACTGTAACATGTCATGTGGACTAAAGACTGTCACTAACAAACTTCAGTGTTTCAGAAGTGCTGGAAGGCTTCTTACAGACTCTCAAGGAAAACCCACTTGTATAGCAGAATGAGAAAACTGAGGCAGAGAGGCAAAGTGATCAGCCCAAGAGCACATGGTTCATTAGTGGCTGAACTAGGATTAGGACTCATGCCTCCTAACTTCTAGGTGGGCGATCTTTCTGCTACAGAATTATAGCATCATTATCCCTGAACTGTTGAAAGGAGCATAACCTTCACCCCTCCCTCATTTTCTATCTTCCAGAGCTCTCCCTGCATCCCCCTTGCCCCTGTTTACTAAAAGGAGAGGGTTAACCTGGCCCAGGCTTGAGAAAAAGCTAACTGGTCCTTGCAGCCATGGGCCACCTGACTACTGAGTGGAGCACACACAGCCTGGACTGCCTGCAAGGAACCCCTGGGTCTGGCTGGATTTTGGAAAGTTTGACAAAGGTTGGGAGTGGGAGCACCGGGGATGTTTGTCAGAGCTAATGAGATCTGCCTCTCCAGAGACACCAGGAACTGAACCTACCCTGGCTGTAGACTGCTGGCTTTTCCCAGCAAGAGCCAAATACTGCTGTGGACATTTTCAACACTTTGGAAAGAACAAAAGACCTTAAGCATGTGTGTGATGGTCTGTGTGTGTCCTTTGAGGAGAGGGAGAGAGGAGAGCATTTGAGGTGAAAGAGTATGAGGTGGGAGGAAATGACGCATAGTATAGGCAATGATGCAGTCTCTCTGTATTAGGA